TAAACAAGCAGACCAGTGGAAAAGAACAAAGCCCAGAAACAGACTCCTGCATAGACGATACTTGATTTAGGTCAGAGGTATGCAGCAGTGGAGAAAAGACAATTCATGCTGGGACAATTGTGCATCCGTATGGATAAAAAAGAAACAGACCCCTACCTCACACCATACCTCCAAATAAATTGCCAGTAGACTAAAGACCTATTTGTGAAAAACAAAACCTCAAAGATTTAAAAGAAGACATGGCAGAATTACCTTCATTACCTTAGGGCACAGGAGGATTTCTTAAAGGACACAAAGAGTGAAACAACCACGACTGATAAATTCAACGCCTTTAAAATTAAGATACTCCGTTTAGCAAAAGACACGGTAAGCTTGTAAAAGACAAGATACAGAGCAGAAGATAGGTGCAAAACATATACCCAATAAAAGGTCTGATTCAGATCCACAAAGAACTCATAAAAAAGAAAAAAACCAAAGATAAGGCAAACTAAACCAAGCCCAAACAAACAAATAAATGGATAAATAAAAACCCAGAGAAACTAATAGTGGGGCAAATGAATTCTAAATGGGCCAAAGACTTTAATGGGAATTTCACAAAAGAATTCAAAATATATAAGAATTAGTATCTGTATGAACCATGTTTTTCTTTTTTTGTATTTTGACATCTGGGGCATTTCTGACTGTGGAGACACTATCCCTCCCAGAGTTAGCAAATTCCTAGAGATAGTAAACAACTCACCTGGAGTAAGCTTTTCAAAATACAGACCAGTCTAAAACTCCACCCCAAACACCTCCTCTTGGGGGCCCTCACACTCTGGGCCACCATCCTGTGCTACCACCTTTAGGGCCAGATACCAGACAACAAGAGACAGCCCCTATGCCCCAGAGCCTGCTGGAGTTACTCAAACTAGCCAATCCGAAACTGGCTTATCCTGCCTTGTCAGTTCCTTCCTGTGGGAAGCACAACAAAGGCTCTTGCCCAGTTGCTCCCTCTTCCTCTGCTTCCTAAGGGACACTGGTGCTTTCATGCATTCTCCCTGCCCAAGGCATGAGGTGCCTCTTTCCCTTAGGTATTGTGAGTAACAAAGAATGTTTTCAATGGCAATAATCTCCTGATCTGTTGGTCTTCTCTACACCCAATTTTCTATTAAATTTATTATTTATTTTATTATAAAATAATATATTTTATATTTAATATATGCCATTTATTTAAAAAAACTTCATTAAGTAATCAGTGAAATGAAAATTAAACTCACAATGAGATACCATTACACACGGACAATAATGGCAAAGGTGAAAATATTTGATGAAAACAAGTACTTGCAAAATCTGTGGGACGCAGCCAAGGCCGTGCTAAGTGGAAAGTATATTCCAATACAGGCCTACCTCAGGAAAGAAGAACAATCCCATATAAGCAGTCTAAACCCACAATTAATCAAACCAGAAAAAGAAGAACAAATGAGGCCCAAAGTCACTAGAAGGAGGGACATAATAAAGATTAGAGCATAAATAAATAAAATTGAGAAGAATAAAACAAGAGAAAGAATAAGTGAAAGCAAGAGCTGGTTCTTTGAGAAAATAAACAAAATATATAAACTCCTAGCCAGACTTATCAAGAAAAAAAAGAGTCTACACACATAAACAGAATCAGAAATGAGAAAGGAAAAATCACTACGGACACCACAGAAATATAAAGAATTATTAGAGAATACTATGAAAAATTATATGCTAACGAACTGGATAACCTAGAAGAAATGGCCAACTTTCTAGAAAAATACAACCTTCCATGGCTGACCAAGGAAGAAACAGAAAATCTGAACAGACCAATTATAAGCAATGAAATTGAACTGGTAATCAAAAACTACCTGAGAATGAAATCCCTGGACCACATGGCTTCACCGCTGAATTTTATCACTACCCATCCTCTTTAAAGTTTTCCAAAAAATAGAAGAGGAGGGAATACTTCCAAACTCATTCTATGAGGCCAGCATCACTCTAATACCAAAACCAGGCAAAGATACCACAAAAAAACAAAACTACAGACCAATATCCCTGATAAACATAGATGCAAAAATATTCAACAAAATATCAGCAAACTAAATTAAAAAATACATCAAGAAGATCATCCATCATGATCAAGTAGGATTTATTCCAGGGATACAAGGGTGGTACAACATTTGAAAATCCATCAACATCATCCACTACATTAACAAAAAGAGGGACAAAAACCACATGATCATCTTCACAGATGCTGAAAAACCATTTGACAAAATTCAACATCAGTTCATGATAAAGACTCTCAACAAAATGGGTATAGAGGGCAAGTACCTCAACATAACAAAGGCCATATATGACAAACCCACAGCCAACATCATACTTAACAGCAAGAAGCTGAAAGCTTTTCCTTTAAGATCAGGAAAAAGACAAGGATGCCCACTCTCCCCACTTATATTCAACATAGTACTGGAGGTCCTAGCCATGGCAATCAGACAACACAAAGAAATAAAAGGCATCCAGATTGGCAAGGAAGAAGTCAAACTGTCCTGTTTGCAGATGCCATGATATTGTACATAAAAAACCCTAAAGAATCCACTTGAAAACTACTAGATCTAATATAATATCTGAATTCAGCAAAGTTGCAGGATACAAAATTAACACACAGAAAACTGTGACTTTCCTATACACTAACAATGAACTAACAGAGAGAGAAATCAGGAAAACAATTCCATTCATAATTGCCTCAAAAAGAATAAAATGCCTAGGAATAAACCTAACCAAGGAAGTAAAAGACATATCCTGAAAACTACAAGACATTCTTAAGAGAACTTAAAGAAGATACCAATAAATGGAAAGACATCCGGTGCTCATGGAAAGGAAGAATTAATATTGTCAAAATGGCCATCCTGCCTAAACCAATCTATAGATTCAATGCAATCCCTATCAACATACCAACAGCATTCTTCAATGAACTAGAGGAAATCATTCTAAAATTCATATGGAACCACAAAAGACCTCGAATAGCCAAAGCAATTCTAAGAAGGAAGAATAAAGCAGGGGGGAATCTTACTTCCCAACTTCAAGCTCTACTACAAAGGCACAGTAATCTAGAAAATTTGGTACTGGCACAAGAACAGACCCATAGACCAATGGAACAGACTAGAGATCCCTGATATAAATCCAACCATATATGGTCAATTAATATACGATAAAGGAGCCATGGATATACAATGGGGAAATGACAGCCTCTTCAACAGCTGGTGTTGGCAAAACTGGACAGCTACATGCAAGAGAATGAAACTGGATCATTGTTTAACCCCATGCACAAAAGTAAACTTGAAATGGTTCAAAGACTTGAATGTAAGTCATGAAACCATAAAACTCTTAGAAGACAACAGAGGCAAACATCTCCTGAATATAAGCATGAGTAACTTCTTCCTGAACGCATCTCCTCAAGCAAGGGAAAAAAACCTACAGTATGGGAGAATATATTTATAAATGATATGTCTGACAAGGGGCTAACATCCAAAATATATAAAGAACTTACACCCCTCAACACCCAAAAAGCAAATAATCCAATTAACAAATGGGCAGAGGATATGAAGAGACAGTTCTCCAAAGAAGAAATTCACATGGCCAACAGACACATGAAAAGATGCTCCACATCACTAATCATCAGGGAAATGCAAAATAAAACCACAATGAGATATCACCTCACACCAGTACAGATGGCCAGCATTAAAAAGACTAAGAACAACAAATGCTGGCGAGGATGCACAGAAAGGGGAACCCTCGTACACTGCTGGTGGGAATGTAAGCTAGTTCAACCATTGTGGAAAGCAATATGGAGGTTCCTCAAAAAACTAAAAATAGAAATACCATTTGACCCAGGAATCCCACTCCTTGGAATTTACCCAAAGAATACAACTTCTCAGATTCAAAAAGACATATGCACCCCTATGTTTATCGCAGCACTTTATGCTCAGTGAAATAAGCCAGGTGGAAAAAGACAAATGCCAAAAGATTTCCCTCATTTGTGGAGTATAACAATGAAGCAAAACTGAAGGAACAAAATAGCAGCAGACTCAGAGACTTCAAGAAGGGACTAGTGGTTACCAAAGGGGAGGGCTGTGGAAGGGCGGGTGGAGAAGGAGGGAGAAGGGGATTGAAGGGTATTATGTTTAGTACACATGGTGTGGGGGGGTCACAGGGAGAACAGTGTAGCACAGAGAAGGCACACAGTGGATCTGTGGCATCGTGCTGCACTGATGGACAGTGACTGCATTGGGGTATGGGTGGGGACTTGATAATATGGATAAATGTAGTAACCACATTGTTTTTTCATGTGAAACTGTCATAAGAGTCTGTATCAATCATACCTTAATAAAAAATTAAAAAAAAAAAAAGAAAACAAGTGCTGATGAATGTGTGTAACTGAAAGGTGGATACACTGCTGGTGGGAGTGTATATCACTACAACCATTTTGAAAAATAGTTTGGCCGTATGTGGTAAAGTTAAAGACATGTTCCTCCTTAGTGTGTATATCCTAGGGAAACTCCTGTACATTTGCAGCAGGACACCTGTTCAAAAGTTATAGCACTATTCTAAATGGCAAAAAATAGAAAACATCTCCCATATTCATCACCAAGACATCAATGCAATGGAATATTATGCAGTGGAAAAATGAGTATAACTGTATGCAACAGTGTGGCTGAATTTCAGGGACATAATGAAGAGTAGACAAAGACCATGAAAAATATATACATTTATAGAAAGTTTGAGAAAATAGAAAGTGAAGCAATAAACCATTGAAAAACACAAGCATATAGTTGTTAGAAGGGGGTAAGGGAGGCAATGGTGCCACAGCTGTTCATTGTGATTTTGCTCCTCACACTTCACACAGATTTCATATTCTATTGTATCTACTGAATTTTTGAGATAAGCAATTCTAAAGCAATGGATATAAAGACAAGTTTTATAATAGCATGAGCACAGGAGCATACCGTCTTCACTCGTGTGGGGCTCTGTACCAGCATCCTGATCCACTTCCTCCAACGTACCGTGCTCACTGTACGGGCTGTCGCTGTGGAGCGGAGACAGAAATGCACATGAAGCCAAAGCTGAACAACAGCTACTGTAAGGAAATAATATATGACGGTGGAACGGCAAGAGTTACTGGATAGCCTTTCAATGGAATACTGGAGCCTCCAAGGATTATCTGGTCCCATGGAGTCTCTGTCCCTTCATCTTTGACACAAATGTTATTTTACAACTCTGTAAAGACAGAGTTAACTTGTAGAAAATCAAAAGCATTACAAGTAATTTTTTCCAAAGAAAAGAAAATTTATTGAATTCTAGTGGAATATGATTGCTCTCTATGGATATACTGATTTTTGCCTGTTCATTTCAACATTTCTTATTACCTATAAATAAATCAAAGGCTCTTTGATTTCTGCTTTGAATTGGTTGTAGTATCTTCTCCATTTTTTCTTGACAAATGTTCATTTTATATCCGAGTCATAATTTTATCCTTTTCAAAAATTTGTCCCTTAATATGACCACCACCTGTCTTCAAATGTATGCTGATAAACAGAACGCACTGGTCACAAATACAAAGCTGATGCTACTGTAAAAGCCCATTTATACTGCAGGTGTCAGATAAGGACAGCTACTTTATTACTGACTTTGTTTAAAATAAGCGATACCTATATAGAACACTAGACATGAGAGAAGGACATAATCAAATACATGATACTGGCTACAAGACTCCTTATTATGGGGATTTTGTAAAAAGCTGTGACCAAAAAAGTCCTAGAATACATGCATCAAATAATATAGACCAGACACCCACATATTTGCTCTTTGATAAAATGAAAAAGATGGCAGAACTTACTGATTTAGCCCTGAGTAGTTGGAAATACTAAACATGACATTGACACAGGTCTTGAAACCAATACTATGAAAATAAAATGTATCTCACCAGAGCTGAGTTTTATTCATGTATCTTCCCAGAGTTACATGAATAAACTTAGTGCCTTGCATATAGTAAATGTTCAAATATGTTTGAATTGCATTTCATGTGTAAAATTGCTGGGTATACTATAGAACTGTAATCTGTCAGGCTTTGTGGTTCATTTAGACAGAAGTACCTCTGGAAATGGTCAACTCTCAGTTTTCTTACGGCATCCGCTCATACTTGGCTTAAGAGCATATTGTGGTTTAAGTAAAGAATAAGTGTACTTTCAGTTATTTAAGATCTTTCAGCTACTTATTCAACTTCTACTTAATCCCCACTGAGGCAATGGTAAACTAAGTGTCCTCAAGAAGGTTCAGAATGCAGGGCTTAGATGAGTGTCTATCCAGCTGCTCCTGAACGTGAGCTGCACAGAGCAGTCTCTGAGGTAGGCAGGGAGGCAGCTGTTGAGTGGGATGACTCATGTGGCTTTGGGCTCAGAAAACCTGGGTTGCTGACAGGAGTTACTAGTCATGGGACAGGGTCCTCAGCCTCTTGTAACTTACCTGGTAGAATGGCTGTGGGGAATAAAAGAGATCAGATGAACTGAGTAGCCACCCCACAGTGGGGACTTAAACAATTAAAGCTACTTTTATTGTATATGATTTCTTAGAACTGGAACTCATAAAAAATAGTGAACATGAACATTTTAGTGTTCCCTACCTTCGGGATTATTCAACCTTTTACAGCTCCCCCATCTTTATACTTCATTGGGAGGTGACTGTACTGCCATATGACAAACTTTTATCCCAACAATATATTAATGTAATAAACTTGCTCAGAATGACCATTACTACTATGATTGGTTAAGGTAATATTTATTAGTAAGAAGGAAAATAAAAATAAGTAAGAATGAAAACACTTGGTTGATAGGGCTCCTGTAAAAGAAGTTTGAAATACTTTATCTAGAAGCAAAACTATTTCAGAATGAAAATAAAATCTATCAATTCAATCAGGTATCTTTTCTTGATGTAATAGGAAAAATTAATATAGCTCTTTGTACTACCAAAACCTTTATTCTCTCCAAAAGTCATGATAAGGTGGGTATATCTAGAAAGATATCACCCTTGAAGAAAAAGAAGGCATGAATACGAGTTTCCATAGTAAGAAGCCAGTATTGTCTTGGTTTTACTATTCATCTCAAATGTTCCTGCCTCTTTTTTTCTCAACTGGAAGCATTGGTGACTTACAGTCAATTCTTTTTCTTAAGTTGATATCTATACTTCCACAATTTTTCCAGGGGGAAAAGGACTAAAAATTTTGGACTTACCAGTAGTCATCTCCAGCCATACATTTCTCATAAATAGGGCCATCCAGTTCTTTAGCATCTGGGAAAATAGTCTCATGGTGGATGATGATGGTTTTGACAATTTCATTCACGTGAGCCTGACAAGACACTTGGTCCTGTATTTCTGGGACGGGCATCAATGTGGGGCCAAAGCAAATGGCCAGGTTATATGGGTCCATCATGTTCTCATCACTGTACTGTGAAAGACTATGGAAGGAAGAAAGTAGTTATAAAGGAACATGGGGAAAAAAATAAAACTGATGTGGTCATAAGATACTGCATATTCTGATATTGGGGATCTAAAACATTTTATTAGTTTTTTGTTAGAATAAAATGATATTCTCACCTACTTTAAGTTGGCTCAGCAAATCCAAAGAAAGTAAAGCAACTTCTAACCTTTCAACTAGGTAGAAACTGAAAGGGGAATCTAAGTCCTACTTGTTTAATTACGTGGCATTTTTCAAAGCCACAAGGGAGATTAAGATAATCTCTGCTACAGTGGAGACCAGGATCAAGTAAATGATTTTCACTTATAAACATTGTAGTCAGACTCTAAATGCTGCTCAAGTAAATCTGGAAAGGGCAGGAGTGAGGTTCACAAAGCTTTAAGGACATCCTTAAAATTATACCCCCACTAATCAAAAATCTCTCACATTTCTGTTTCCTCCTATAAATCTTGAGAAAAGCCAGGAGGAAAACAAAGCACCTTTTCTTTGTAGTCACTGAAATGAAGCAAATAGTTCCAGGCTTTCTAAGTTGCTTTTGGGTAAGACTACCAACAGCAGGTGACAACCAGCATCCGAAAGACGCTGCAAATGGGAGAAGGGAAAAGACTCCTCAATTCTCTCATTCCATTTAAAGCTAGCAAACTGCAAACTCTGGGGCAATTTCCAGTTGTCTTGCACTAATTTCTAAATTCAGTCCAATGGATATTTGTGATATATTTTCCACAGGTGACTCAAAATAAGTCAGTTCTTTATTACTATGACTTAAACACACAAACAAGGTGCTGTTCTAAGGAGAATCTTTCAGCAGAAGTTATCTTTCAGCGTTTGAATTGTCAGTCGTGAAAGGAAATGTAAAATCCAGGTGAACAGATGACAGATAGGAGGTAAAAGGGACTCATTTACATTTGTGAGACGATGACAAAGCCAGAGAACCTAAGATACCACATGACATGATACTTCATCCTTTTTTGGAAATGAGAGCCTGCTAAGTAGAAAATACAAAAGCATAATTTCCACAGCTAACATATGTCTTTCCCTTCTGCCATTTCTCAAACATACAATCTTAAAAAAAGTTCACAGTAACAGACATTGATCACATTACAGATCTAGAAAACGGATGTAGGAAGGAGAAGTGAGACTCAGAGTAAAAATGGTATAATTTTCAAAAGACACAAACTCCATGGCAAGAGTCACAGTTCATCTTTTGGGGGTCTTCAATTTAGTGCCAGCTTAACGAGCAAAAAAATCTGATACAAAAAGAGAATAGGTTATTTCTCTTTTCAAAGTTCCTGTCCCAAGCATCCTCCCCCAGAGGCTGGACCCTGTGTCTGTTCAAAGGCAGGCACAGGGAGCCAGGAGGCAGCTTTGGGCAGAGGCTGAAAGCAATGCCAGTCATCTGATTCATGGCACACTTACGAGTCTGAGCCACACAAGGTGAGTTGGATTCAGGTTTTGAGAACTAACCTGACTCACTGTCTACTTTCCTAGTTCACTGTGGTTTATTGGGTCCTGGTGGGTTTTGCTCAGGTGTGTCAGGAGAATTTGGTAGGGACAGCATGGAGAGGGCCAGTAGGAATGTAGGTAAGGCAGTCAACCTGGGGAAGGGGAGGCACATGCAATTAAAGGTGAAATGGCAAGCCTTCGGATTTTTAAATCCGCTTGGGTGACTAGGCTTAGTTAAGGGTAAACATTTATGGCATCTATTTAACCTAAATATAGTTTACAAACATCCCCTTAGACCTTATTTCCAGTGGTGATTTCTGTATAAATAGGTTCTTACTGAGATTTGTGGGTTTTTTAGCTCCATCTATATGGTGCCCTGGCAGTATTTCTCTATTGTATAATACTTGTTTTTTGGGGCCAACCCGAGTGGGTATGATTTCAGGCATAGTCAATGGGGTTACAATAAATCCCCATGGCTTTGAGAACTTAAAACCCCCAGTGAAATAAAGAAGAGAAAATAGCCTAATTCTAGGAAGGGGGAATCCATGCCAGAATGAGAAGGCACTTCCCCATGCTTGTGTCCCCCTGACTTTTTTATTTCCAATTACCAAACTGAAACATTGAACAGCAAGGGGGACTCTTAGATAGGACTCAGGAAGTATGTTCTGACAACAGAGCCCATTGATCACATTACAGATCTAGAAAACGGATGTAGGAAGGAGAAGTGAGACTCAGAGTAAAAATGGTATAATATTCAAAAGACACAAACTCCATGGCAAGAGTCACAGTTCATCACAACTGAAAATCAAATTAAGGTGCCTAAATTAAAAAAAAAAAGTTCCTTTGAAAATACTGCAGTGATTTTTAGGATTTCTGTAACATTGTTTCAGGGAATGTTTTAGCAATACCTTTTTCTCAACAAGATCTCATTATACTGAATTTGCAGAAACTCTTTTTTGGATTGTGTCTAAGTCTCATCAATTCCCCTCTTTCCCCAACTATAACATTAAAATCAGAAATTATCTGCAGTGTGCAGGTGGTTTACATCATTCTGACAAAAACATTCATGACATTAGCTTTGGATGGAAGTTCAAAAAACATGTATTTCACTAAAAAGTGTTCTTTTTAGTAATTACCGTACAGTTTTGCATTTATGGCCACAGTTTCTGTATCTCTCATCTGTTATACGATGACCCTGATCTGCTGATGAAAAATGTACCTTCAGCCTATATTTCATTATCTTCTCTCCAATTCTGCTGATAAATGGAACCCTATGTACATTTTACAGAATCCAGGAACAAAGAAAGAATTCAAAGTGGGGCACTTGTAATTAAGATGGGCATTTGGCAGAGCTGAGGGTACTTACTGATTGAGGAAGGCAAAGAGGTACCTCATCACTATCAGAACCGACCTGGGCAAGGTCAGGAGGAGTTTGCGGATGTGAAGCGCCCTCTCATAGAGATTATCTACTCCTACAGACAGAAGAGGACACGGTCAGGAGCCTTTCAGTTGTCGCATTTAAAGCAGAACATTGTAGTACCAAATTTCATATCTGAACATAAGTAATATCTTACCCTTGGGTGAGACGCAATCGTAACCAATATAGCAACTACGTGATCAGCTTGGGTGTAACCATTTCTGAGGGCATCTCCTCTGACCCCTCAGTTTCCTCTGATTTCCATAGTTTTGGCCCTGAGGAACTTTCAGTCTTCTAGTTTAAAAAATAACTTTTCACTTGCTGGTGTTTCTAGATTTTTTTCATCTGATATGGTTTCAACTCCTTTTTGCTGCCTGGTAACTAAAGTAGCTTTTGGGGACACTCCCCATTATTCATGAATTCATCATATATTTAGTCTATTACTGTGATTCAGGCAATGTGCCAGTTTTGAATTGTTCCTTCCTCAAAACTGTCAGTATTTTATTTATGTGACTTTTTACCTTGTATTATACCATCAATTCATTAAACAAATATTTAAGGTTTCCAGCACAGAGGTAGACATTAGGAATACATTAGTGATATGGTACTTGCTTTTATAGAACTTACACCCCGGTGTTCAGTTATTTTTTTCCTTGTCCTGTCTTCCCTCTGGGGTGGTGAGCTCCCTGAAGACAGGTCTACCTGGGGCTTCCTGGTATTATTTTACCTCTTTACGAGGAATATAAATTTTCCAGAGCTTCTCAGTACTAAAGTGTTTGTGAACAGCAGCAAATAGGTTACTGCTAATACTATCTGCATAATAGTTTGTATTTTACAGCACATTTTCACATGTTATCAAATTTAATATGGATGACAATACAGTGAAGAAGGCAGGGCATCCACTGTCATCTCCATGTAGTGGATTAGAAAATTGCGAACTAGGTAAGCGGCCTAGTCAAGGTCAGCTGGGACTAGAACTTGCTTTCTGTTTCTTAAGTCCGGTTGTCTTTCTTGGATTTCAAAGTATCTTTATGAAGTACAACTTTGAAGACATCCAATAAGCATAGAGGTAAGGCAAATATTTCAAAGAGTATTTCAAAACATTTTTGAAGCTTACTATGATTTCATATTACTACATTTGTTAATTGCTCTTGAGATATTCATACATTCTATTGGAAATCTCTGGCCTTAGCTTCCGATGCTGTAGCCAATTGATTCTCCTCCAACTTCTCCATTTTCTGACCTTTTCCCACCCAGAGATACTATTCCTCAAGATCTTTTACTTGGTTCTCTTCAGTGGCAAATTCATCCAGTCTCAAGGTCAGGACCATCACTTCTCTGAAAGTCTGCTTCATTTTTCTCCTTTGTGTGGAACAATATAACCTGTTGTTTCTACCCCTAGATGTCTCATTACTACTCTAATTGAAGTATCTATTATTTCTGACTTGAACGATCATAATCTCCTAACTCAGTTTCTCATTCCAATTCTTCTTAAACCACTGGTTCTCACCCGAGACTTGGAATCACCTGGGGAGACTTTTCAAAATGCCGATGCCTGAGGTTCTTTTATGCAATCGAGGTTGAGAACCACTGCCTTCATTACTCATGACACACTCATGCCCCTGGAATCTTGAGGGCTGACTCTAGCTACTTTCCACTTATCAAACTACCCGGTTACTTAGCTGTTTATTTTTCTCTCTGCATGGCTGAAAATGTGGGAAAAATGTATTAGGAATATTCTCACTTAGCACTGATAAGTTTGCAAAGCAATAAGTAATTTATTAGGATCCCTGGGAAAAGTCACTTTCATCTTTGAGTATGCCATAGCTGGAACTAGAGCTGCCAACTTTTAGAAAATGGGATTTCAGAAGCTGTAACAAGAATGTAAGTAAAACATCATTTAATCAACGATCCTGTAACACCTTTACTTTTCAGCATAAATCAATAATTAATAAGAGACATTTTAGTAATACTGAAATAAATACTTTTATATTCTGCTTTTTAATTTGTAACGTACTTTAACATGGAAAAAAATACATAACAGTATGAACAAAATTGGTTAGGGTCACACCTATTGAGTTTAAACACTTTGCTTAATATACTTTCCAGACAAGGAATTTTTTTTCTGAAAAGAGGGAGTAAGAGGCTTTAAAAAAAGTTATTAAACAGGTGCAGAAATGTACTCAGGCCACAAGAACTTAATCAGTATCAACATTTCCACCTATTCCAGTCCAGATGCCCAGCAGGATCAAACCACGTTGCAGAGTCATCTGTTTGTCTTCTAGACAACTTCCTGGGACACATAGGAAACCCACACTGTACAGAGAAGGAAGGTAAAATACTACAGATAATGTAATTAGCAAATCGTTGAGTTTAATAGGGGAGCCACGGTTCTGCATCTATAAATGCTATATATTTAGGCATAGCTGGATTGTTTCACACCTGAAATTAATAAGGTTAAAAGTTTATTAATTGAAATAACTGATTAAAAAAAAAGGTACGACTGCTGTTGCTGCTTTAAAGATAAAAATACACTTTAGCACCCCTGTATCGAGGAAGTTTATCTCAACCAATTAACAAAATCTCTCAAGTGAAATTATGCATATTATGACCCTTTCTTAAAACATTGAAATTTACCAGCATTTATTCCTTTGGTTGTGAAATATTGTGTGCATAAATGACTTTAAATTCATGCTTCAAACCAGTCACATTTAATATACTTATGTAAACACAACAGTAAGTTATAAAGATGAATTGTCCCATTCATGGGTCCCTGATGGGCAATACTCTCTACTCTTTTCCAGCCACTTAGAGAGTCATATAAGGGTTATGATTAAAAACAAAACAACAGAAAACTTCTATCATTGTTTACTGAAGGTCTGGGGTGTTTCAAGAGTTAAGTCTACCTAGTGTCCAAGCTAATCCCTGGTGTAAGGTCAAGGTCAACTATCAGGGAGAGGGTTTTGGGATCTCAAAGGAAAGAGTGCAAAAAGAACCACTCTTAATGTATTACTGATCTTTAATCTTTGTCAAACCCCATAGCGGGCGAGTCATTTTCAGCTGGAAGTGCACACAGGCATACTTCCATGAGGCTTAAGCTTAAGTCAAGACCCTCTTGTTTCTCTCATCTAAACTGTTTCCCTACCTCTTAAAGGCAGTTTTAAAATTTAGTTAAGAAGAATTCACAGCAGTGTTATTCATAATAGCCAAGAGGTGGAAATAACCCAGGTGTTCACTGATGGACAGATAGACAAATGTGGTATATAAAAACTATGAAATTATATTCAGGCTTAAAAAAAGAAATGAAATTCTGATACAACATGAATGAACCTTGAAGACATTATGCTAAATGAAGTAAGTCAGACACAAAAAGACAAATATTGTATAATTCCCCTTATGTAAGGTATCTAGAAAAGTCAAATTCTTAGAGACAGAAAGTAGAATGGTGATTACCAGGGGTTGGGAGGGAGAGAGGAATGGGTAGTCATTACTTAATGGGTATGGAGTTTCAGTTTGGGATGATGAAAAAGTTCTGGAGACGGATGGTGGTGATAGTTGGATGACAATGTGAATGTATTTCATGCGCTTGAAAAGTATACTTAGAAATGGTTAAAATGGAAAATTGTATATTATGTACATTTCACCACAATAAAAAAGATTGACTTTACCATAATTAAAAGAATTGGACAGGGGCTGCTGTGAGATGCAAATGAAAGATTTCAGAAGAGAAAAGCAACAGGAATGTAAAAAAATGACACCAAAAAGTTGGACAAAATTATGTGAGGCAGGCACACATTCTCAGCAGAACTGCTGGCATTCCTAATTTACCTGTCCCTGTTACCTCAGCCCAGGATGGCTGTGAGCAGGCCTCACATCTTTTGCTGGTTAGTAAACCAGCTTGCAGCATGCATCCTACAAGACTCTCGCTCTGAGTACAAATGACTCATTTACTCTCCTGAGATCAGTTAACGGGTCAAAATTTATGGCTGCTACAGGCACTCTGATTAATGTACATTCCCCTCCGGCTCTGAATTCATGGTCTTTCACAATTTTATGCTGCATGGAAAGATGGATCTTTTCTTCTCCTCTGAAAAGCTGTCAGTGAAGAAAATCAGTTTGTCTCATTTGGATTTCTTTTAAGCTGGGCTTTGTTTCCACAGCTGAGGATCTCATGTAATTAGGTAAAAGTGGCATTCATCCAATCTTGGTCACATGATCAAAGCTCCCTGGGTTATTTTATATTCTATTCCCAGCACCGCAGGGTTCCCATGTCAGCACAGTTCCTTGGAAATACGTGTGAAAAATTCACCACATAAGGCAAGTTATTTCAAAAAATGGCAAAAAGTTCAAATGGCCATTACTTTGAAAATACTAGTTCTCTTGTGGTACCATTTGAAAAAATTATTTATTAGAAAATAATAAATCACAAGATGTAAATTTATCCTCAACAACGAAGGCAGGGAAGGACTTAATGGCCACATTTACAAATGGTTTATTTTAAAGAGCAGGCAGATATTTTTGAGCTTCATAGCCCAACATGTGCTATTCAAGGAGAATTTACCAGTCCTGGGGCATTTTTAGGTTCTAACACTATCAGGTATTAATTAACTGTTTATGTGTAATAGTGCATGTATGTGTGAGTGACAGGGACAGAGAAACACACAGACATGTTCTGGCACACCTGGATGCTTCCCAGCTTGGCCTTGAGATGAGGGGCCAGCTGCAATTCTAGGTAAGAAATGAAATGCGTGCAAATCTCCCAATTAACCATTAATAGACTGGCTTCTGTGAATTAAGCCAATGTGTTCTTCCCTACCGAAATAGCAACCTTGTAGAAATAAATACATAAATAATGCTTCTTCTTCTGCTCAATTATCACATTGAGTTTAATAAAGAAACAGAATCTGAGCCTAGGAGGCTTTACCTTTTCTGTTCAGATACCAAATCTATTAAATATTTTTAAGGATAAAACATTTTAAGGATAAAATCCCTCAGGAAATCTTATAAGGCATCAAACAGAAATTTAGAGTCCAGAGATATAATCACCACATATGC